GTTTGGGTTTTATAACCCTAAACCCTAAAACCCTATAGGGTTTAAGGTTCAGGGTGTACGGTTTCGGGCTCATGGTTTAGGGTTTTGGTACGGGTAAGGCTTCGTTTTGCTCACAAAAGTAGTACGGCCCTGTAGGGTTTGGGGCTTAGAGGTTTTCGGTTGACATCAGAGAGTTTGGTTTTCGGGCCGTAGGGTTGGTATCAGAGGGCTGCATAAGTTATGGCTGTTCATTGCTTAGGTTTATTGCTTTCGTTGTAGTGCCCTGTGGCCGCAGTTTTCCGTCTCTGAAAAAGGGGAGAGCTGCACGTCATCAGCGACATCGGCAGATTGCTCATGACTTCTCGAAATTGTGGAGGCAGTTTCCTACATACATGTAGGGGTACGACTAATTTAGTCTTCTGCTGCAGCAAGATGGGGGGCATGTGTTTCTAAGTTTCCGGGCTCCCTCTGGTTGTGCCATCGGGCCAGGATCCTACAGTAGCTATAAGCCCTAACCCTAAACCCTACACGCCTAAGCCCTAAACCACTATATCCGGTCTAGAAGGCTCTGATGAAGAATCCCCTCAATTCATTCCGTTTTCGAAGGCTTCTTTTTTTGGATTCCGGCTCCACTCAGGGCTTTTGTCCCCACCACACCCTCAAACTGGCACAAACTGAAACAGCCACCAGTATGAAACGCTGGTAGTCCGGACTGGTACGTAAGCTCCTTGGGTGTAGCTTAGCGCTATCCACAAGCCGCGATGAAAAACCCATGCCTTGATTAACACAGAGAGTTCTCTAGGAATATGCTATATGTATTTACACATACATATATGCATGTACCATACCCTAGACCCCTGGTACCTACTATATAGGGCACTAGAGGACCTGGGGTCCTGCAGAGTAGGCACCTGAAGGGGTTTAGGGTTTAGGGTTTAGGGTTTAGGGTTTAGGGTTTAGTTAGGGATAGCTGGCCATTGAAGATCGCACTAAGCATCTTCGCTTTGGGTTTCAATCCATCGACCCCGCTCTCTGATTCGAACTTCTGAGAATCAGACCTTACCCATAGGCCCCATAGTAGTTCCTTTTTGGGATTCCTTAATATAATCCTAAATATGAGCCACAAAAAGGAACTACTATGGGGCCTATGGGTAAACTCATACCTCCTTCAACCACCCCAAAGCCTGCATCCCAAACCTTCAGAACTTTCAATCCCTAAACCCGAAGTCTCGAGAAAAAGCACTAACCCCCCAAAAAACCCGAGATCCCCAAAGCCCCAAAACCCCTAAACCCTAAAACCCCCTAAACGCCCTAAACCCTAAACCCCCAAAACCCCTAAACCCCTAAACCCCTAAACCCGAAGCCTCCACCTCAGACTTCGAGGGAGGCGCCCGGGCAAACTCCTCAGTGCACACCCGCGCTTCCAAGATGACACCCCGCACAAATACAGACAAACACATCCCAAACCCAAAATCCCAAGCCCTGAAAACCCGCTAAAACCCTAAAAGCCCCAAGCCCAAAACCCTAAACCCCAAAACCCTAGAACCCCAAAACCCTAAACGCCCCAAAAGCCCTAAACCCTAAGAGCGCCAGAGCCGGCTGAAACCCAAAGTCGCCTCAGGGATCGCCCTCCTCCTATGCCGAAGCGGCCCTGGGGGGCTCGGGCGCCTCCCGGGAAGTCTGAGGTGGAGGCTTCGGGGTTTAGGGTTTAGGGTTTAGGGTTTAGGGCTTTAGGGCTTTAGGGCTTTAGGGCTTTAGGGGGTTTAGGGTTTAGGGGTTTACAGAGTTTTAGGGGTTTAGGGTTTAGGGGTTTAGGGCTTGCCAGCACCCCCCACTACCCTCTAGTATAGCTGAAATCTCCACGATTGAGGTCCATAGGGGCTCCAGTAAAGGGTACTATAGGGGGGTGCTCGTAGGGTTTGGCGTTTAGGGTTTAGGGCTTCGGGGGACATGAGGTTTTTAGGCATTTAGGCATCTAGGGTCGTGAGTTTAGGGATATAATATAAGGTTTAAGGATACAGAACCGCTTTCTGGGAATATGGGGTTTAGGATGTAGGGCTTAGGGATCGGATTTGGGTTTGAGGAGCAAAGGGCTTAGGGTCAGGATTCTCCTTCTGAGGGTTTCAGGTTGCAAACTGTTGGGCTTAGAGCGTGCAGATTTAAGTTTAGGGGTTGTAGGGCTTAGTGTTTTATGTATTTTGGGATTTTCGGCTTCAGGGTTCTACGATTTTGTGTTTGGGGGTGCAGGGTTGAGGGTTTAGGGTTCAAGAATCATTATAAAGCGAGAATATCTTTGACATTCCTCATGTTTTAACACGAAGTCCGACTCAATATAGGGGACCCAACCCTAAACCCCAAACCCTAAACCCTAAACCCTAAACCCTTAACCCTTAACCCGTTTACGTTACCATGTCAGCGTTCGGCCTTCCCTGCTTGCACATGCAGGGCCAATGCAGTTGTTGAGGTTGGCTGATTAAGAAAGGGGCTTTAGCAAAAGAATAGGTTTTTGGGGCCCACTATGCTATAATTAGAATAAGGAGCCCCCAAAGTAGTATCGGGAGGCTCCTACATTCCGTGCTTCATTATGGCTCTGAGGCGTTTTTTTGTTTGGTGTCACGAGGATTGCGGATGAGTGGTCGAAGCAGAGGGGCGGGGGAGTGCTGTAGGGCACAAGTGTGTACAGTGTTGATGGCATACTTCTAAATTTCGGTTTAGGGTTTAGGGGCGTCCGAGTTACTTCAGGACCAAGAACTCGGATAATATCAGGGCCTGGAGAGTTGGCAGTTAGAATAGGGTTTTGGGTTTATCATCACTTCGTAGGCGTACAGAGACCGTATAAACGTAGAGCTCACAAAAACACAATAAGTTTTAAAAACCCAAAGCCCTAAAACCTCAAACTTAAACCCTAAAATATCCTAAACCCTAAACCCTGGCACTTAAACCCTAAACCCTCACAGCGCCTCTTGGCCAGAGAAGTTCAGAAGATGCCCTGCAAGCACAACTCCCCAAAGTGAACCATTTACTGTGTTGGAACCCTCCCTAACCTCCCAGGTACCTACTATACAGGGCTCTAGGGGCTCTGGTACTCTATATAGTAGGTACCTGGGGGACCCAAAGCAGCCCCACTAAAAACTGGCGCCAGGAGCGGCTCTCTGATCTCAGGGTTCGCTTTGCGGCGCGTCGGCGGCGAAAGAAGGCGGCAAGCTAATAGTGACACCCCAAATCCTACTGTAAACGACCACGTAAGTATATGCTACTGTACTTTTTGCGAGGGTCTTATGATAAGCCTACTGTAGATGTCATAGGGACCTGACTTGTCGTACACCCTGTGTACTTACTGCGGGATCCTCATGTAGCTGTTGAGCCCGACACCTTTGCGTACAAAGCGTCAGAAGCCGGATGAAGGAGTGCTCAGACTGGCCCCGCACTGTACATGGGAGGTTCCGCACTACAAGGACATACATGCGCTTATGAAATATGTATATAACAACACATGTATATGTTTTCTTGCATCTTCATGCTCATACTTTCTATCTCTAAACGAGGACCTCTTGAAGTTACTGTGGCGACATGCGTTTCTAGGTGTTCCGGAACTAACATGGAGGCGCCGAACAACATCCGAAGGTAGTTTAAATAAATAAGTAAATACATAAATCTAAAATAAACAAACAAATATAAGTACATATATATATATATACTTATTTATTTATTTGTATATATATATATATATATAGAAACTTAGGCCGCGTGTACCAAATCGGATATCCTTGGGGCTTCAGGGATTTAGGGTTAGGATGCCTTATCGCCTTATGCCTCAGGTCTCCAAGACCAGACAAGGTGTTCAAGAAAACACCACCCCTGAACGGCAAACTCCAAGCCTCAGTACACACCCGGGCTTCCAAGATGACCCCCCACACAAATACAGACAAACACATCCCAAGCCCAAAATCCCAAGCTCTAAGCCCTAAACCCTAAACCCAAAGCCCTAAGCCCTGAAAACCCTAAGCTCTAAGCCCTAAATTACTAAAAACCTTAAGCCCTCAGCCCTAAACCCTAAGCCCCCTAAACCCTCAGCCCCTCTACGTGGCGGGCCAGAGCCACTTGCTTTGAGCATCTGCCAGGCAGCGCGTGCTGTCGCAGGAAGGCCGGAGGGGTAGGGTTTAGGGTTTAGGGTTTAGGGTTTAGGGTTTAGGGTTTAGGGTTTAGGGTTTAGGGTTTAGGGTTGGGTAGTTAGGGCAGTTCTTTGAAATTGAAAAACCCTACCTAGAGCCCGAAGAATCTCCCTTTTTAGGGCTCCTTATTATGATTTCTTTATCTAAGTCCTCAAAAAAGGTAGTTCTTGAAGTTGAAAACCCTAAGCTCTAGAAGTGTAGGGTTTAGGAAGTAGGGTTTAGGGTCTAGGTTTTAGGGTTAGGGAGTAGAGTTGGGGAGTAGGGTTTAGGGTTTAGGTTTTAGGGTTAGGTTTTAGGGTTAGGGAGCGGGGTTTAGGATTTAGGTTTTAGGGTTTGGGTTGAGGGTTCAGGTCAAGTGCTCTCGCACGCTTCAGTGAATCTGCGGCCTACGACCGCTTCAATGTGGGCTGTCACTAAGCAACTTGATCTTCCCTTCATCGTAGTCTGGGTTCTTGTTAAGGGATTTAATTTAAGTTACCATAATAAGGAAACCATATTATTTTAGATCCCTATTATGGTAACTTAAATTAAATCCCTTAACAAGAACCCAGTAGTTGGGAGATGGGGGCTCATCGACCCTCATGTAGGAAGACACCCCGAGCACGAAGCCTCAAGCGATCCCAGGGTCGTTAGGGTTTAGGGCTTAGGGTTTAGGGTTTAGGGTTTAGCGTTTAGGGTTTAGGATTTAGGGTTTAGGGTTTAGGGTTTCGTAGATAACTTCAGCTCCAACCTCTACATACAACATCAAGACTTCGAAACGTTTCTCGGATGCTGCGTTTGAGTCCTAAGCCAAATCCTGGCCACCGCTCTCAACATGATTCCGGCAACCCCAAATGCAGGAAATGGGACAACAGCTCAAGTTAAACTGAAGTCGGAAATCTCAACAAGGGGGGGGGTCCGAAGATAGGGGACCCCAATATAGTGCCCTAAATAGTGGGATCCCTTATTATAAGGACCCCCAAAGCCAGGTGCCCCCTTGTTTTCGGGAACTCCAACATGACAATTTCTTGAAGCTCTTGGGAGGGAGTTCGAGTCTGCCGAGCAAAGCACCGGCGCGCCTTTGGAGGAGCGGCAGGCAAGCTCTTGGATCGGGTGCTTCCCAGTTTGTAGTTCCAGGGTTGAGAAGTGTAACGATTACTATAGAAGCCTGAATAGTTACCAATATTACTGTTAGGCTTCTTTATAATTTAATAATACTATAAATGAGCCCAAAACCCTATTCTAATTATTAAGGCACATTAACGGTTTTTCAGTTTGTAGGCCTAGGATTTCGGGGTCTAAACGAATTTTTTTAGAAAGTATGACAATGAAATGGGTGCTCTTTTAGAAGGTAGAATGCAACCCAAAGAAAGCCTGCTCTGATAAAAAGGCATCTAGATCAGGTTTGCATACGGCGCTCGAGGGTTGGTTACTCTCTCCCGATGGAAGTATGCTTAAAATTCCCCTTTAAACCCTAAACCCTCTCCCTCCCGATGGAAGTATGCTTAAAACTCTGGCAGATTTGGGCGTTCCCGCGATATTTGTGGGTTGACAGCCAGCCGTCAAGTTGATGCTGCTTGATCACACCCTGAAAAACATGTTATGCTAAGCTCCTTGAGCCCTTTACGATTCAATACCTTGAGTCTTGACTTGTCGAAAACCGAGCTGCAAGGCTGAAAAGAAGCTCGAATTCCTCAGGCTATCAATCGAAACCCAAAGCCTGAAACCCTAAACCCTAAAGCCAACCCGGCTGTATTCGGGCCTATGGTCTGCACCACTCCAGTTTTTGGTTTCTGGGCCAGAGCGATTTAGGGGGTCCACTTGTCCAGGGGTCTTCCGCGCTTGATGCTTTGACTTGCGCAAGCTGATTTTAAAGCACGCACCAGAAGGCTCAGGGGCCGGAAGTCCCAGTGTGTAGGGTCCAGGGTTTAGGGTTTAGGGTACCTCAACCATGAAACTTCTACAGGAACCTTAAGAGGTACCCGGGCCAATACTATTTTGGAGGGCTTCTCATGATAATTATGGTAGAATATTCCCCAAAACCTGTTGTAATCAGTAAGGCTTCTACATCAGGCTCCCCGATAGTCTTAAGACCCTGAACCTTTAAGCCCAGGACCCTGAACCCTAAACACTAAAATCTCAGAAGCCCAAAATCCTGAAACTCTACAAGCCCTAACAGCACTCGGCCTGTAAACACGCATACACACAACCCTAAACCCTAAACCCTAAACCCTAAACCCTAAACCCTAAGCCTTCAAACTCCAGAACTTCTAAGCCCAACAACCTTAGGTCCCTGAAATCCGAAACCCTCGGTTTAGGGTTTAGGATTTAGGATTTAGGGTGTAGGGGTTTAGGACTTAGGGTTTAGGGTTTAGGTTTTTGGGTTTGGGGTTCAGGATTTAGGGTTGAGGTTTAGGATTTAGATTTGATATTTTGGGGTTTAGGATTTAGGGTTTAGGGTTTGGGGTTAGGACGTAAACCCTAAACCCTAAACCAGAAGCCCCAAAGCCTGACACCCCTAAGCTCGAACGCCAGAACCACATTCTTCAATTAACCTGGGTTCAGGGCTTTGGGTTTCTAGGGCTGATAGGGTTGCTTTATGGTTTCGGGCTACAGGGTTATGAGCTCTATTTGTTATTTGTTTAGGACTTAGGGTTTAGGGTT